GTTAGCGGCCAAGCGTTAACTGTTTGCACCACCTAGGGACTTTCACTCTTGTTAATGTTATCGTTAGGTGCTTTTGAGTCCATTCTGACTCACAGTGACCCTATGTACAACAGAACGAACCACTGCCCGGTCCTGAGCCATCCTCACAATCGTTGTTATGCTCGAGCCCATTGTTGCAGCCACTGTGTCAGTCCATCTTGTTGAGGGTCTTCCTCTTTTTCACTGACCATCTACTTTACCAAGCATGATGTCCTTCTCCAGGGACTGATCCCTCCTGATAACACGTCCAAAGTATATGAGACATAGTCTCGCCATCTTTTCTTCTAAGGAGCATTCTGGCTGTACTTTGTCCAAGACAGATTTGTTCGTTCTTTTGGCAGTCCATGGTATATTCAATATTCTTTGCCAACACCAACCCAAAGGCTTGGGTCAGGCACACCTTAGTCCTTTACTCTTAGGATGTGACATTGAAACAAGTATCTGAGGGATGAGCAGAAATAGGGGTGAAGAGTATCCCAAACAGCTTTCACAAATGCTGCCCACCCTTGAGATTTTCCTTTTCCAAGAAGCCTTACTTCTTCTTTACACGTATTGCTGCCCAGTCCAGCAGCGCTTAGCGTTTATGCACCATGGCTTCCTTCAAGAATCTGTTTGGAGCTATGGACCTTCTTCCCAGGAAAGTGTGCAGAGGGACAGACGTTCAGCATGGCGTACAAGGGAGAATCCAGAAGGAGTTGTGCTTGGCTGAGTTGAGGAGGAGGAAAGTCAGGACCTTGCATATCTGACTTGTTGTGTTTGGGGGCTTCGAACTGTTTTGATGAGGGCACTGTGGCCTGGGCTAAAGGTCACTTGGGTAATTTGCAGCAGCTGCTGGCTGCGGGACACCAAGGATCTGTGATTGTGGCTGGCTTCTTGTCAAAAGCCTGAATTTCAGCCCTGTACTTAGAGGAAATACCCAAGCAGCCTGCAGTCTTGTGGGGGCTGCTGGAAGGAGGGGACGCTGCTGGGAGGAGCTTCAGCCCACGTTATATAACAGAACAAAAAGTTGTTCAAACTCAGTATCTTCGTATATAAACATAAGGGAGACAAAATAATTTATTCCACCTTGGAGTACTTCCCATCAGCAGGGCTCTAGGGCTTCCAAGACAGTGGAGTCCTGGCCTGGAGACTCCCTGGGGAAAGAGAAGGGGTCATACAGTGTGAAATCTCACCTCAAGCTCCCAGAGGGAAGGCTCCACCTTCCCTTAGAAGAGATGCAGACTTTCACAGTGCCCTATAGCTTTCCTTCTTGGTGTTTATCACCTTTGAGGACTCTTTATTGTCTTATTTGATCTCCATCTCTCTCTTACTGGACTATTAACTCCATGAGGGTGGCCAGTGTGTCTTATCTTTTTTTTTTTTACTAACAGCTTTATTGAGATATAATTCACATACTATAAAATTCACCCTTTTATAGTGTACAACTCAATTATTTTTAGTATATTCACAGTTGTGAAACTATCACCACTGTCTAATTTTAGAACATTTTGATCACTCCCAAAAGAAATCCCATATCCATTAGTAATCACTCCCCATTCCTTCCTCTCCCCAGCCCCTGGCAACCACTCATCTGCTTTCTCTTTCTATTGGATTTGCCTATTCCAGAGACCTCATAAAAATGGAATTGTACAATATGTGGCCTTGACTAGCATCTTTCATTTAGCATAATGTTTTCAAGGTTTATCCATGTTATAGCATGAATCAGGACTTCATTTCTAAAATAGACATAAAATTTACCATTGTAAGCATTTTAAAGTATACAATTCAGTGGCATTAAGTGCATTCACCATGTTGTACAGCTATCACCACTATCTTGTTCCAGAACTTTTTATCACTCCAGATGGAAATCTCATACCCATTAAACAGTCACTGTCTATTCCCCTCTCTCCCCAGCCCTTGGCAACTGCTAATCTGCTTTATGTCTCTATGGATCTGCATGTAATTTCCTGTAAATGGAATAATATATATGTGATCTTTTGTGTCTGGCTTCTTCCATTGAATATGTTTTCAAGCTTCCTTCGTGTTGTAGCATGTATCAGTACTTCATTCCTTTTTATGTCTGAGTAATAATCCATTGGATGTATATACCACATTTAGTTTATTCATCTATTGATGGACATTTGGGTTGTTTCCACTATTTGGCTACTGTGAATAATGCTGTTATGAACATCCGTGTACAGCTTTTTGTGTGAACATGTTTCGCTTCTCTTCGGTATATGCCAGAGAGTGGAATTGCTGGATTGTATAGTAAGTGCCAAGCTGTTTTTCAGTTTTCCAAAGTGGCTGCACCATTTTACATTCCTGTCAACAATTTATGAGAGTCCCAATTTCTCCACATCCTCACTAACACTTGTTAATATCTGGGGTCTTATTTTTGTTTTCAGCCATCTTAGTGAATGTGCAATGGTATTTCATTGTGTTTTTGATTTGCATTTTCCTAATGAGGAAACCCTAATGGTGTAATGGTTAAGAGCTACGTCTGCTAACCAAAAGGTTGGCAGTTCGAATTCACCAGGTCCTCCTTGGAAACTCTATGGGGCAGTTTTATTCCGTCCTGTAGGGTCGTTATGAGCCGGAATTGACTCGATGGTAATGGGTTTGGGTTTTTTTTTTTTTTTTTTGGTTTAATGACCAGTGACGTTGAGCATCTTTTCATATGCTCACTGGCCATTTGTCTGTCTTCTTTGAAGAAATGTCTATTCAGTCCTTTGCCCGTTTTTAAATCGGGTTGTCTGTCTTTTTATTGTTGAGTTGTAAGCCTTTTTAGATATATTCTAATACAAGTCTCTTATCAGATATATGATTTCCAAATATTTTGTTTTGTGAGTTGTCTTCACTTTCTTGATGATGTCCTTTGAAGCACAAAGGTTTTAAATTTTTAAGTCAGTTTATTTTTGCTTTTGTTTCTTCTGCTTTTGGAGTCATATCTAAGAAACCAGTTGCCTAATGCAAGGGCACAAAGATTCATTCCTGTTTTCTAAGTGTTTTAGAGTTGTAACTCTTCATTTAGATCTGTGTCTATCTTATTCAAGGTACCCTAGTCCCTAGAATAATGCCTAGCCTATAGAAGGTACTTAATACTTACTGAGTGAAATGAATTAATTAATATCTCTTAAATGAGTGAATGAATGAATGAACAAACAAATGAATGAAAGAAAAAACAGATCTCTCCTTCCAGTCCCAGAACTGTTGCTAGTTACACAAAGCCCTAGGGTTAAAGACGTTATACAGAAGAGTGTCTCCGATTTGTTTTAATCTCATCCCCAAGGAATCTGTCAGATTAGTGAATTCTCACGTTTCCTTGTCTGCCGACTTCTCCTTTCCTGCTTTTCCCCCAGATTTGCTTCTCTTTAATTTCGTATTTGACAAAATGTGGCTAACACATTTCCTTAACAGCTTCTGGTGTACTTCAGTTAAATTGTAAATGTGGTAGATATTTAAGAAAATGTGTTCCATCATAAAAATATTTATTGGTTTGGTTTTTGCTGTTGGCTTTTCTTGTGTCAGTCAAATAAATTCAGATAATATGGTAGCGTATGTATTACTAGGAAACCCTAGTGGCGTAGTGGTTAAGTGCTACGGCTGCTAACCAAAAGGTCGGCCATTCAAATCCACCAGGCGCTCCTTGGAAACTCTATGGGGCAGTTCTGCTCTGTCCTATAGAGTTGCTATGAGTCGGAGTAGACTTGACAGCAACAGATTTGGTTTGGTTTTTTATGTATTACTAAAAGTCTCCTCATGGGGAAAGTATCACAATGTCTACAACTTACTTTCAGAAAAAAGTGTGTGTGTGTGTAGAGAGAGAGAAGGCCAAAGTCAACAATTGGTGAATCTAGACAAAGGGTATTTGGGAGTTTCTTATGCTAGTATTTCAGTCTTTTTTAGATTGAATTTTTTCCAGAAAACTCTCACAATCCCACTCACAGAGGGAGTTAAGCCATGGACCTTGGGAGGTGGCTGTGTACTAGGTGCTTTGCATACAGTTGTCATTTAATCATCAGCTACTGAGGAGAAGGAGTCCCTGGGTGGTGCAAATGGTAAGTGTGCTCGACTGTTAAGTTGCAGGTTTGAGTTCACTAAGAGGTGCTTCAGAAGAAAGGCCTGGCAATCTGCTTCCAAAAATCAGCCATTGAAAACCCTAAGGAACACAGTTCTACTCTGACACACATGGCGTTGCCATGAGTCAGTCAACATGAAGGCAGCTGGTGGTGGTATCTCAAATAGCAAAGCTTTCAGCTGTGGATAACTGGCTTCTTCAGAGCCGGTTCTCTATAATCATGTAGGCCCCTGTATTCTCCTAGGACTGCCCTAACAAAATACCAGAAACTGGGTGGCTTAAAACAACAGAAACTCATTCTCTTACAGCTCTGGAGGCTAGAAGTTCTAAATCAAGGTGGTGGCAGAGCGATGCCGTCTCTGAAGGCTCTGGAGGAGATCTGTTCCATGTCTCTCCTAGCTACCAGTGTTGCCAGCATTTCTTGGCTTGTAGATGCATCACTGCAATCTCTGCCTCCGTCTTCACCTGGCATTCTCCTCTCTGTGTCTCAGTGTGTCCTCTCCTCGTCTTATAAGGACACCAGTCATTAGATTTAGGGCCCGCTCTATAATCCTGTATGAACGCGACGAATTACATCTGCAAAGATTTTCTTTCCAGATAAGGTTGCATTCACAGGCACTGAAGGTTAGACTTCAACATAGTTTTTTTGGAGGACCCAATTCAACCGAACAGCTCCTGATCACTTGATGATCCTGTGCTTGGTGAGGGTGGCTGGGAGACAGTCCAGGAGTTTCTGGAATAGCGGGGCTGCCATCCTGGGACTTGAAGGTAAACCGACAAGGGTCTAGAGGGGTTCGTTGCCTGCTAACCAGTCGGCAGGCAAGTCTTGACGTCTCGCTCTCCTGGGACATCTGACTCTCTCGGGAGGCAGCCCTGACCCCACATCTGCCCACCTGTCCTGCAGGAACTGAAGCTGCCTGCCTTCCGAGCCCACTCTCCACTCCTGAAGAGCCGTCGGTTCTTTGTCGACATCTTGACCCTGCTGAGCAGCCACTGCCGGCTGTGCCCTGCAGCCCGGCACCTGGCCGTCTACCTGTTGGACCACTTCATGGATCGTTACAACATCTCCACTTCCAAGCACCTGTACACCGTGGCGGTCTCCTGCCTCCTCCTCGCAAGTAAGTGGAAAACCAGTCCCCTGTCCGTGTTGTCACCTCCCCGTCAGTGTGCCATGTTCTCCCAAATCATTTTACATTCAGTGGTTTTTGTACGTCTTCTGTGTTCATTCTTAGCCTTGTGGACTATATTAATAACTAAAATATTTTTTTAGCATCTATAATGCACCAGGCTAAGTGCTAAGGATTTTAGCAGCTGAATCTTAATTAATCCACACAGGGACCCTAGGAAACAGGTGTTCTTAGTGTCCCCATTTTACTGAGGCACAGAGAGGTTAAGAAACTTGCTTGGGGTTACCCAGCAAGTACATGGCAGAGACAGCATTTGCATCCAGGATTGCATGATGCCAGATCCCTGACTTAACTCCATGTCACCTGCTTCCTGGTATGGGGGCTCTGAACGTGCTGAGAGGGGAACCCAGCAACCACTTTTCTGAAAGTGTTTAGAAATGAGGCTACTTGATTTGGGCCCAAGCAGGACCAGGCCTTGGCACAGCCCTCTTGTGGTTTGCATCTTCCAAAGAGGCCTCACAAAAAACACAGCATCACTTTGACCATCTCTCTGCTTGGTAGGGATTACTGTGCTAATATTCTGCTGCTTAAGTGATCTGCCATGGTACTCTGCTGCTGAAAATTCCCCTTGTGGACAATTGATATCTATTTGCCTAGAGCAACAGAGGAAGAAGGAGAGTCAGAAATAGGAGAAGGATATGGAATATGTGGCTAACTGCCTCCATGAACAGCTGCCTCCTTTGCCATGAGACCAAAACAACTGGCTGGTGCCTTGCTACCATTACTGAACATTTTGATCAAAGATCCTGTAGGAGAAGCCTGATCAAAAGGGGGAAAATGCAAAACAGAATTTCAGAGTCTCATGGAATACACCATATCTGGAGCCATGGAGACTTGATGAACCCTGGAAACTTTTGCCCTGAGATAATCTCTAAACCTTAAACCAAAAGTATCCCCTGAAGTCTTCTTAAAACCAAACAGTAGTTTAGCTTAACTAGTAAAGAATGTGTACCTTAAACATTGTGCCCTTTCAAAATCTATCTATATGAGATCAAATTGACAATAGCAACTCAAAAGATTAGATAGGAACCTTAGGGGACAGTGAGTTATATTAATGGTGAGGAACAATTTGGAAAAAGAGGATGAGAAAGGTTGCACAACTTGAAGAATATGATCAGTGTCACTGAATTGTACATGTAGAAACTGTTGAATTGGTGTTATGTTTAGCTGTGTATATTTTCAACAACAATAAATAAATAAATAATAAATAATTCTCCCTGTACTTTACCAACAGCCTTAGAATAAAGATGGAACCTACTTCTGCACCCTCAAGGTCTGTCTCCCTAGCCTGATGCCTCTCTCCTCTTCAGTCTCTGGGTTCCAGCCACGCTGGCCAAGCCCCCTCCTGTTTCAGAATTTTGCACATGCTGTTCCCTCTACCCAGAGAGTTTCCAGCTCCCTACTCCCTCCTGCCTTGTCCTGATTAAACATTATTCAGATCCTACATCCCCCCAAAAGCCTTCCCCACTACGCTGGGCAGATAATGTCTCCCTAATACATAGTCCCATGGCTTCATATACTTTTAATTAACACCACCTCCCTGACTAGACAGTTCCAGGGAGAAAAGGGAGCCTGGGGCATAGTAAGACCTAAAAATGATTTGTGGAATAAATGAATGGGTGAAGGGTCCCTTAGAGCTGGGTGTCTGTATGTCTGCAGGTTGCCATTAGTACAGAGGAGTCAAGTGTCCAGTATGGCTGGGGCCCAAGGCATCAGCTGCAATCCTGAAATTTCTCTGATATCTGGTGTTTTATCATTAAAATTCAATCAGTTTTCTTAAGAGATATTGTCAAATTCCTTTAAAAAAAAAAAATCCAGCCTCTAAGCCATTACACATGCTGTTCCCCTGCTTTTGGAGAGCTATGTCAGCCTCCTTCCACCCCAAAGGCCGCCTCCTCCAAGAAGTCGTCCCTGACCTAGTCAGTCAGAAATCATTTCTTGCCTTCAACACTGAAGCACCTTATTCTTATTAATCATAATCCTTCCCCCTATTTTGGTCCTTTTAAAATTTAATTTGTACATTTCTATAGTGAGCTCTTTTTTTTTTTTTTTTCAAATAACTGTCCAGCACCCCCCTCTCCCAACCCCTGCTCACCACTAATCTATTTTTGTCTTTAATGCATTTGCCTGTTCCAGGTATTTCATATAAGTGGAACCATACACTGTTTATCCTTTTGTGTCTAACTTCTGTCACTCATAATGTTTTATGAGTAATGTTTTCAAGGTTCATCCATGCCATAGCATGTATCAGAACTTCATCTTTCTTTATGGCTTAATAATATGCCATTGTATGGATATACCATACTTTGTTTATTTGTCTATTGATGGCCACTTGGGTTGTTTCCCCTTTTTGGCTATTGCAAATAGTGCTGCAGTGAACATTGGTGTACAAGTATCTGTTTGAGTCGCTGTTTTGAAAATTTCAAGCAAATTTTGCGTTCTCCTTCACAGTATGTCATTGTCCCATTTCATGAATCCTAATTCCTGAACCCTACTAATGCAAAGGAAGGTGGTGCCCATTTTCTCCTGTGGCTTTGCCTCCTCTTGGCCTGCTACCAGGAAGCCCCCCAGGGGCATGATTACCCAGTGCAGGAAGCAGCATTTTCAGAATTTAGTCTTGTTTTCTACCCTGGCACCTTCCACCATTGTTGTTTATCATCCCTTTGGCTGCTTGGGTTTCCAGCCTCCCGATTTGTGACTTTTCTTTACCTCGGGCCAGCTGGATTTCACATGTTACACAGAAGACCCCGTCTTGCTGGGAGTCTGGCCTATTGCTATTTCAAAGTCCCAAGTCAGCATCCAGCTCCTTTTCTTCTGAAGAGATGCGGGCTTGCAAGACACTCATGTCAGTGAAGGATAAAATGGGCATCGCATTTCAGGCGGCCCAGGAGAAACATGCGCCATGACCTTTGGCCTGCTGCTGTCTGTGATCTGTGGGCTGCATCGGGGCCTGGTCGGGGCAGCGGAGTTATATTTCCATGGGGCCACGGGGCTCTCCCTGAGCATCTGTCTGGAGAGCTGGGACGTGAAATATACACCCTATACTCTTTTGTGTTGCTGCCACTGTGGCGGAGGGAGGGCCGTTCAGATGGGCAGCAGATGCCCCCACGCACACGCTAAGGGCCGCAGCCAGCCTCAGGCGGGCGGCAGGAGTGGACTGTTCAGGGCACCTGCCATATGCTCTGGAGGCGCAAGGAAAGAAAAGTTTTCATGACAACTTGAAAGCGCATTCATCCCTGTCTCCCCTCTCCCCAGGCCGACTGTCTGTGCAAAGGGGTCACCTTGCCTTTGAGAGTTTTGAGTTCTGCTAATTCAGTACCAAATGATTCCCAAATAGGAAGAGCCGCAGGTTCCTCTTGCCTCTACTTGCCAGTTTGCAGGTTTTTAAAGCTGTTTTCCCGTAAGGGTCTGTCTTAGTTATCTGTTGTCCTACTATAACAGAAATACCACAAGTGGATGGCTTCAGCAAACAGAAGTTTATTCTGTCACACGGTCTAGTGGGCTAGAAGTCCGAATTCAGTGCGTCAACTCCAGGGGAAAGCTTTCTCCCTCTCTCTGCTCTGGAGGAAGGTCCTTGTCGTCAGTCTTTGCCTGGACTCTTTGCTTTTCAGCACAGAGACCTCAGGTCCAAAGGATGTGCGCTTCTGCTCTTCTTTCTTGATGGTAGCTTGCTTCTCTCTTTTACATCTCAAAAGAGATTGGTTTAAGACACTGTCTAATCTTGTAGACTGAGTCCTTCCTCATTAGTATAACTGCCACTAATCCCACCTCATCAACATCATAGAGGTAGGATTTACAGCACACAGGAAAATCACATCAGATGACAAAATGGTGAACAATCACACAATACTGGGAGTCATGGCCTAGCCAAGTTGATGGATGTTTTTGGGGGACAAAATTCAGTCCATAACAAGATCTTTGAATAGCCTCCTGCTCTTATGAAAAACGGAGCGCTAAAGGGCCTGGGTCTTCACGAGGAGGCAGAAAAAAACAAAAGCTTCTAGGTCATTCTACAGTGGACATGTGGAGGAGCCAGCCCTTTCTGTCTCTGTTACCGAGTTACTTGTTTGCATCTCCTACCTTAACACAGGTTGTTTAGCTGCTGTCAAGTCGGGCCCCTGCTTGTGGTGACCCCCATGCTCAATGGAACAAAACGCTGCCTGGTCTGCTCCATCCCCATGATTGGTTATGGAGTGGACCATTGTGAGCCATAGGTTTTTTGTTTTCTTTTTTAATTTTATTGCGTTTTTGGTGGAAGTTTACATAGCAAATTTGGTTCCCGTTTGACAATTTCTACTCAGATTGTTCAGCGACATAAGTTACATTTTTCACACTGTGTTAACATTCTCTTTAATTGCATTCTGGTTGTTCCACTTCCATAGGCTTTTCATTGGCTGATTTTCAGAAGTAGATTGCGAGGCCTTTCTTCCCTAATACAAGGTACAATAATGAACTCAAGATAGAGCCACCTCTTCTTTAATCTTCCGTCTTTTTTATATAATACCCCCCTCAACTGCCTTTTTGTTGTTGTTTAATTAAAAAGATGATTTGACCACACAGAGACTGCATGACCTCCAGGTACCTCGATCTCACCACAAGCCATAATCCTCGGCATCATAGCTGCTGCACTTCTTTCCTCTCTGGCCCCTTTCTCTACCCCCAACCCTAGGCCAAGCACTTTACACACATCAGATGGAATCCTGTGACCAGTCTGTGTGGTCATGTTTGCCACCTTCCTACTTTATAGGTTCAGAGAAGCTGAGTAATTTGCCTGGGATCACACAGCTTGGAGTTTTGCTTTTGCCTAGTTGATGCTACTGGGAGATGAGTGGGCTGTTGAGTTCTCAGCCCGGAGGTGGAGGATAGGAAGGAAAGCCAGAAAGGCAAGAGGAGTGACCAGTGGCCACAGCCTTTTTGCCGGGGTAACCAGT